TGGAACATGATCCATGGGGGAGACCGTATAAGGTGGTGATGATGCGACTGAAGAGTCAGCCAATGCACGTGCCCTGTGTTGATGGAGAAAATCGTCACGGTGTTGTTCCCGCGACAACCGGAACTTCACAGAACGGGCGATCGGGAAGAGGAGATGATGGTTCCACCAATCGCTAAGGAGAAGTTGATGGAAGCATGCAATAGAGTGGGAAACACTAAGGCCCCTGGGCTTGATGGAATTCTCAATATTGCGTTGAAATCAGCTATTTATGCAATGCCGGATATGTGCTTATCGCGTACGTGATTACGGGAGGGCACGTTCCCGGCCATGTGGAAGCAGCAGAGACTGGTATTACTACCGAAATGAAATAAACCACCGGACGATCCTTCATCATACCGTCCGCTCTGCATGCTCGATACCACTGCCAAAATCCTCGAGCGTATCGTCCACGAACGAATAGAAGCAGTCATCGAACCCCTGTTGGCCGACAACCAATACGGGTTCCGCAAAGGTCGATCCACCCTAGACGCCATCAACCTAGTCGTTAACACCGCCAGAAACGCGATCTCAGGGAAAAGATGGTTGAACGGCACAAAAAAGTACTGCTTAGTAGTTACTTTAGACATCAAGAATGCCTTCAACTCGGCCAAATGGGACCGTATTATTGAGGCTTTGGTGAAGTTCAACGTACCGGGATACTTGCAGAGAATGGTCACAAGCAATTTCACTGGAAGAGTCCTCAAGTACGATACGAAGGGTGGTTTCAAGGAATACCGAGTCACCGGAGAGGTACCCCGGGGCTCGGTCTTGGGTCCTTTGTTGTGGAACGTCATGTATAACGGACTGCTGAAGCTGGGACTGCCGCAGGAAACTAAACTCGTGGCATTCGCAGATGACGTGACTGTAGTCATCGTGGGAACATACCTAGAAGATCAACTATTGCACAAGACAGAGGCCGTGCTGATTACCAGTAGAAATAAAACCGAGACCATAACGCTGCAGGTCGGGTCTTGTGAATTTACTTCTCAGCCGTTCATTCGATACCTGGGCGTGATGATCGATGCCCGACTCAATTTCAAGCAGCAAACTGAGCACCTAGGAGTAAAGGCGGCTGGAGTCAGATCCATTTTGTCCCGCCTCATGCCTAACATCAGAGGTCCTAAGCAAAGAAGACGAGCCCTGCTGTCATCGGTGGTCACATTAGTATCCGAGGATGCAGTGTTGGTCATTGCGGGGATGCTCCCCTTGGAAGTATTGGCTGAGGAACGAAAGTCTTTGTATCAGCGAAGGAAATTGGAAGCTCTCGGTGCTGTAGAACTCAGTACAGAAGAGAGACGGAAGAGTCTGCAGCGATGGCAGCTAAAATGGGACGCCTCTACTAAAGGGACATGGACTCACCGTTTAATCCCACAGGTAGATACGTGGTTAAACCGTAGGTATGGTGAGGTTAATTACTATCTGACGCAAATGCTTTCGGGACATGGGTGCTTTCGGGTGTATCTTCATAAATTCAAACATAAGGATTCCCCGAAGAGGAGCAGAGCACATAGGAATCAAGGCATGTGGAGTCAGAACCATCCTATCCCGGCTCATGTCCAACGTGGGAGGCCCGAAGCAGAGAAGAAGAGCGCTACTGTCATCATTGGTCACGTCAGTCCTCACATATGGCATGGCTATCTGGGCTGATGTACTACAGAGGCAGGAATCACGGCGGAAGGTGGCACCTGTCTACCCACTGAGTGCCCTTAGAGTTACCAGCGCGTATCGCAGTGTCTGAGGATGCGTTGTGTGTCATCGCCGGGATGCTGCCCATTGAAGTGTTAGCCGAAGAACAAAATCCCTTTACCGGCGGAAAGGATCACTGAGCTCTGAAAATTTGAGAACGGAGGAGAGGCGTAACAGCATTCGTCAATGGCAGTTGCTGTGGAACGCCTCAACCAAAGGACGGTGGACGTATCGCCTAATTCCACAGGTGGACGCTTGGATAGATAGAAACCATGGACAGGTCAACTATTACCTGACACAGATGCTTATAGGACATGGGTGCTTCCCACTGTTATAGGAGTGGATGAGGATGCGGAGCACGTGTTTTTCACATGCCCACGCTTCAGCGAGATTCGGAGTTTACACTGGGAAGGCACGTGTTGCCTGAGAATTTGATGGATGCTTTGCTGTCAACACAGACGGCCTGGCACACAACGAGTAGCTTCCCAGCCAGCGTCATGAAGGAGCTTAGAAAGGAGGAATGCAAGCGCAGTGCTGCAGAATAGCTGAGGAATTCATTGGAATCTCCTACCCACATACAACATATCAGTGGGACAGGGGGACGTACATTAAATGAAGTCATGGTGGAAGAGCAAACAGCTGAGACCTCCCTCGCGAAGTAATACTTAACGGTGGCGCCGCGAGGGAAAGTAGGGTCGACGAATTCCCGGGGTCAAGTGGTTTAGTAGATGAGGGCCCCACACAGAGTGTGGCAGTAACCACCATGTTACTGTCCACTATCGTGCGGTTAGGTACATTTGCCCCGACCTCGGAAGGGAAAAAAAACACGCAAGGGCACACGCGCGCACGCACACATGCGTACATGCACATGCACACTCACACACACGCATATCTACACATAAGCCGGTCTCTAGGAAGTATCGGGAGAGTTTCCAGGCGTCAGGTGTTATAACACCTGACTAACCCTGAGGGTTAAATTCTAAGAGAATTAGAATTTAGAGAGAAAAAATTTCCGTTTCACCCAGCCGGGAATCGAACCGGGTCTTCCAGATACGCGCCGGGCACTCTTACCGACTAAGCTACCGGGAACCACAGAAATTCACTCTCAAATTCACCTTATACACCGCCTAACCTCCTTTAGGCATTAAAGAATTCTAAGAGAATTAGAATTTAGAGAAAACATTTCCGTTTCACCCAGCCGGGAATCGAACCCGGGTCTCCCAGATATAATCGGACAGAGGTCCGATTAAACCGATTTATAATTAGAATTTCTCTCTTGCGACTAGCGTATGCTCTGCGCATGAAATAGTTCTCTAATGGATTCCTACCTTAAAGTGCTAGGCACATCCACCATCTGCATTTGGGTCTCTTTCTTAACTTGATATTTAAAACTAATACGGGGAATTATATAGCATAGGTTATTTTGCGAAGTATAGAAATGATACTCGGACAAATATCAGGGAATTGAATCTGTGTTTAATATCATTTTCATTAGCCGCCAATCGATAAGTTATTATGATACTATATGGTTGATAAATTTATTTCTCTCGAGAGGATAGTTCGTTTATAAGGTTATTTTTTAGATTTATCGTACGTATTACACCTTGAAATGTTGGACTATCTACGACATTCGCGTAAGATAAAAAAAGGGTCAAGTATTAGCGCTTTTAACATTAGTTTATTACAGAAATTTTAATTAACCTTGATTCCGAAGGGATTTACAAGGTTGGCCATATAAATTATTTTGGACATTTACTATTTACACAAAACATTACTTCACCGATCTGATGACAATTTTGGATTTCCCAGGAGATACGTAGGTCTCTGGTGATCAACTAGTCTCCGGGATTATCAGATGGGATTGTGGAGGTGAGCAGGTTATTAAATGACAACTCCAGAGATCCAACGTTGAGCGAAATATATTTGAGTTTTTAAGCGTTAATATTTACGAGTGGAGAGTTAGTCGTAAGAAGACTTGTCCTCTCTGTTGATGTGTTGTCCAGTGGTTGAGCGATGAGTGAATGTCGAGTGAATGATTGACTGATGATGAGTGTGGAAAGTGTGCGGTATTTAAGGAGAGTGCAAGGATGTGATTGGTGGAAAATTTGGAGAAGGGATGAGTAAAATCCTGGCTTCCGATTGGTTCGGAGCTGTAAGTTCCCGCCGGTGAGCTGTGATTGGCTCGGGGGTCCCGGCGGGGAAATTTCCGTCGTGACGTCACGGGCGCCAGTCAGGCGGACGAGAGATTATGGACGCCAGGTGATGATGAGGGATTAGGACGCGTGGAGGATTATGGCAATAAACGGGTCATGAGGTTTGTGATACGGAAATGGATTTTTAATGTGGGAATTGGCCCAATGTCTCGACAGGAAAATTGGGGAATTGGCCCAATGTCTAAAGAGGAAAATTGAGTGTGTATTTGTGTGCGTGTCTGAATGACAGAGATGTAGTGGAGACACAGTCAACACAGGATGAATTTAGAATTTCATGGGTTGGTAGTTTGAGCGATGATCGAATAGCAATTCGTAGGTTGCCGCTGGTTACTCTTTCTAGGTTCACTCGACGATCAATCCGAACAATCATTTCTAGTCCCTTATACTATTTCTGGTTTAGTTCAATGGTAGTTTTTCACTTTTAGTTAAATACACTATAGTTAATATTATCATTATGGTTTACGAAATTTATTAAAGATTCGGTAAAATTCTTGAGTCCACCTAGTGACACTGAATGTATGATATGCTCTGTTGAAATAACTACGAAGGTGTGCGTATTTGTCGAGTATGATTTTGATTATTACTGCGAAACTCACTTAGGTACACTCCACACGGTCTACTGAACGGTTAAGACCCAAGACTAAGGGGAACGAACTCAGATTTGGGGAGCGAAATAACGCAAGAGTCGGAATTACTTTGTAACCCCTTAATACCCCCTTGTCAAGGGGCCCCTTTGTTTGTGGAACAGTGACTAACTTTAATCGGACGTTTTCGAGTTAAGTTTTCTGCAAGAAGGTAGCTTAGCTCAGCACTACTGAGAACACGTGCAAGTCGGTGTGAGGAGCCAGCGTGTGTGGGAAAAATTCGCTGATGTATTCTACCTTTGCCCAGGCTATCTGAGGGACTTCGGTGGCGTGCTCTTCATAGCAAGAAATTTTCGAATTATAAAATTCTGTATATAACACAAGAAACATAAAGAAATCATTAAAGTTCCACAATCGATTTCCAGGGTCAATACAATAACTTCCTTTGTTCGGGTTGGGAAGTGAATAATATATAAAGAATCAAAAAATTATGTTTATTAGCAAGTAACACAAAAATTATTCATTACAATGGTAAAAAAATGTAACACTTATGGTGAAATATGAAGCATCCATTCGATTCGTTTGAACAAACAATTTTGAGTAGAAATGACAATAAAGTTCAATACAAGAAAAATGACAGGACCTTCAATGAACCTGTGCTATTCGACAGACGATTGATATCAATAATTCAGGAGTCAGGTTACACAGCCGTAACAACTGACAATATGATTAGCAGACACGAATAGTATTCCTCCCAACAACCATAACAAAGCCGTTATCCTGCAGTTCTTTCAGGGAATCCTCAAACATGTCTCGCGTTACCAGCTAAATCATTGAACAGAACAAAATATTTAATGATTATATTTCAGTATGAACAAAATGTCTAAATAAACAGATGTCCTTAATATTGCGAAGCACAGTAAAAATCAATTTACGTACAATTTCCATACTCTCTTTCAATTCGCTTAGAATCTTTTGATAATTGAGCGAAGCAACTTTCCCTTTTGATTCAATCAATTTCCTTAGCGCTTCTGTCACTTCATTCCGTCGTTTTCTCGCAGCTGCTGAAATACCCGTCGTCAAAATACTGACATCGATTTTTCCACTCAATGGATCAACGGCCGACTGTTTCAATGCTTCCCGATGCAGCCTGAAACAATGATTTGTATTAGTTCGATGATATGAATATTGTTACTTTGTAATAAGGTCATCAAGTGTGCATTTTACAAAACACAACTTAGATCGATAGAGAATAGATTCGAGAATCAAAGCCGCCTCAAAGGAATCGACTTTATATTTTAAAAAATTGTACAAACCTCCATGCTTCTTCCACATCCACGACTTCTACAACCTGACTGAAGCGGACTTTAGCATGAGCCTCTGACAAACGAATGAGTGACTCTAGTTGCCTCGGATAAGCCGTTATTTGGCCTCTACCACTCCCAACTCTTCTCATGTCTACATATGCTTGAACCAAACGTTGCTGAGCTTCTTCACTCAAAGTAGGATGGATGTGTTCCTTGGCAAATGCAAGATAATCGCGCAGAATCCCCAAGTCGAAAATTTCATCCTCCGGTTCTTCTTCATCCGTGAGGTACAGCGACACCAAATGTTTAGCCAATTTCCGATCGAACTGCTCACTTTGAGGATCCAACATTAAGAATATTAAATCGAAACGAGACATCAATGTATGCGGCAGCTTCACATTCTCAATTACCTATTGGAAAGAACCAACATGATTAGGACTTTTAGTTTTAAGGCTTTCGCGGCCATGATTACACAGTTCTACAAAATTTAGATGTTTTTTGCACTAAGTTTGAAATTACCACCTCTAGATAGGTTTTTACGCGCTGAATCCGAATCTCTCCTCCGTTTTTGTCGAAATGCGATGGTTATTGCGAAAAAAGTCTCAAAAAGGGGTAAAACGCTTGTTGAAAAAAATAATTAGTAAATAACCGCTACATAGATTGATCCCATTTGAAATTCAGCTAATTCACGAAATTACGATCTGCTCGATGAAACCGTCCATTTTAATATATCATAATACTTAGGGAAAAACATGTAAATTTTGTAAAACTGTGTTATTGATATCATTGGCTTGCAGGTGATGCCGCGTTTGGTTTAAGCATTTCGCCGACATTTCACAAACATTGCAGTCTGCAACTTCAGGGCTATGAGATCCAATTGTGGATGAACCAACTGCAGCATTCATCCAAAAGCCAATAATATAATTAGGAGTATTCCTTAAGAAGATGAAAATAACGTTATTAGCCATTTTTTGCTTCCGAATGGAAGAATTGCAATCCTTCGATTTTCGCATTCTATAATTGTGATTGAAAATGATGTAGAATAATCTGAAACGGAAAAATACGAAATTTGGCGACCAGGTCTGTATGTGACCACGTCCACTGCCACCTTCCCGGTGGTCAATTTTTAGAGAATTGAACAATTAAGTGAGTAAAGTAATTCCATAAAAATCTGAAATTTTGTCAGATTATAGGTCTTAATAAGGACTAACTCTGTACAATATGTCAGCTCGATCGATCTAATAGTTGTGAAGAAAAAGCGATTCGTTTTTAAATCGTTTCCCGCAAATATCTTCAAAACTAATGGACCGATTTCGATTTTTTTTTTTCAAAATATTCGTTTCGATGCCGCCCGAAACATTTGTCCCGATGCCTATTTAAATCAATATATACCCGTTCATACAAAGTTTTCGAGATATTCGCGTTTTCCGTTTTTTCATAAAAACAATTTGGTAAACACTCTAGCTTGTGCAAAAATTGAGATATTTACTTGAAATTTGGACAGAAATTGGGATTTTGATAGCACCCATGGAAGTGGCAGTAACTATCTGAAATTTTTGCTGCTAGTTAGTGTTATGGAGCTATAAACTTTTGTAATATGTCAGACCATTGGGAAGCGCATCATCAATATATTGATGGTGAAAAAAAAAGACATCACTCAGTGACATGCTGTCACATGACGCGCTGTCATATGCTCGCTGTCTCCTGATTGTTTTTACGTGAACTCGATCACATTAAAGGGAAACCCCGGTAGAATCTGGATATTGTCAGACATTGTAGAGACGATTGTTGTGGTTTATAAGGAGCTATAGGTGAGAAAACAAAACATGCAAAAAACTAACTCCGACATTTTTGCTTCCGAATGGAAGCTTTGTAATCGTTCAAATTTCAGTTTTGGAATTTTCGTGTTATATCGACTTATTATGATACAAAAAATCCGAAAATGCATGTTTAGACCATGTCCGTACGTATGTAAACAAATTTTTCCCCAGATGGATTTTCAAAAATAATGATTTTTTGTGTATAAATGAATTTAAAAGTGGATTTTGAGAAGCAGGTTCGTGAGGACGTGCGTCCTAGTAGAAATTCAAAGTCAATTTGCTGTCGTTGCGGATGTTTCTGGGCGACGTACGGTAAGGAAATTTGGGCGAACGCACCCCGTAGGTATTGTGGGAGTTGGTCTCTTAAAGTGCGAGCGAGTCTCTGGGCCCGCTTATGATTACGACTGCACTTCAGATAGTATATTTCGTCATTAGGCAAAAAAAACTTCTGGTAAAGATAGGTTTGTAGCCAAAAAGTAGAAAAGTTTTTTTAGGGCGTGTGACGAACAATATTTTTTATCATAACAGCGGTAAGCGGTAATTCACGGATGCTACGCGTCTATGAAGCTCAGCTTTACGGCCGGAATTACAAAAAACTACTTACGGTTTATGAGTTAGAAATATGCTGTTAAATTGTTTAAAATGAGAAAAAATGAGATTAAATATCCTGAGGCGAGTGGCAGTGGATAAGATTTGACATATAACTATAAAAAAATGTCAAATACCAAATGTCTCATTTGACAGGTCGCCATGACCTCGAAAAAAATGACTCGTCTTTTCACGAGTTTTGTTTTAATTGTTGAGTTGAAAATGGTAATAATACGATAATACGGAAATTAGCGAGACGAAACGTTCCAACTAATTTATCAAGCAGATGGGAACACCAATAAAAATGGTTTCTTTGAATAAAAAAAACTTCATTTGACAGTTTTGTTAATCATTTCAAGAAATGAAAAATAAAAATAAACTTGTTTACTTGTCTCAAGAAAAACGATTTCATTATATCAAATGAATAATTTATTAATTTCAAATGCAAAGTTTTCATATTTTAAGACAATCATATTTTCATATATCCTCTAAAAGAAATTCAAAAATGTGTTTCAACCAAATTGACAGGTCATGTGAAAAAAGCCGGATTGATCATTTTGGGAGTATCCGGCTTTCTTTTTCTGATTATTTTTCTAATTATTCTTACGTGGCTATACACCGTAAGCACTAAACCCTGTTCGTCAAATATACGGTCAGAATAAATTTATGTTTAAAGTAAATTGATTCCACAGACAATTTTAGAAGTTTATCGTAGCGTGCTTTCATTCAGTCATTCGGTCGTGAAGATTGACTAAATATTTCATAATTAGTGGTATTGTTGGTAAATAATGATAATACATCGATTCACACTTTTGCATCGATTCGTCTATTAAGGGGTAACGGAACCGACCACAAAAAGACGTTTAACAAAAACAAGTTTTCTTGGATTCTATGCAATGAGAATCAATGAAACTTTTTCCCCGTATTGAGAGTAGCGGAACGCATCGCTCTCTTCTCATGCTTTTCTTATTTATGCAAAAAAATTTTTCAAATTATTCAACGGCAAGGACCAGGGCAAGGCTGACGCCATTTTATTTGTAGGAATCTGCCAAGTCATGGTAGAACAACCGATTTTTTCGTAGATTTTTCTTAGCCGATGGCTATTTTCATGAGAAGAGAGCGATCGAGTGAGGTCCAAGACAGACATTTTGAGTACAAAAACGTACTTTTGTTGCGTAATTTTCGTAAAAACTTGTTTATGATGATTGGGTGGTATCCAGGAGCTAACATATCCTTTACAGGGCACCAATTGTAAGAGGGAAGTACTTTTACGAACCAGAAGATAATGTAGAATGTTTCCATACCATTATTTATTTATATCCATTTATTTATATTTTATGGGCTTTTGTACTTTTCACGTACAAAATCTAAAAAACCACGGGAACCTGCAATACCGATAGGGGGGACCCCTAACCTCTACGTGTGACGGGTGGGTAAGGGTCAAACTACCGAAAGGGTCAAATTACCGACGTACTCGAGAATGTGTCAAAATGATGTTAAATGACATCAAAATGATACAAACTTAACCCTATTATCTTTTTGATGTCAACCTGTTGATTTTCACTGCGCAAAAACTGAGGTTAAGCGAGGTGTAAATATTACTCCAAAAATAAACGTTTAAATAATTTTTTAAATAAAATAAAGTGGTGATGTGAGCGAATTGTGGTGGTCAATTCTACATCTATCGAGGATATTTGTGCTCAAGAGTGATTTAATTATGAAAACTGTCAAAACCCTGCAGAAGTGGTGAATGGCCCACCTGAATTACATTCTTGTGTAAAAGTATTCTGCAACAAGAGATTCAACGCTACTGTTATCATCTAGTGCTGTTCAAGGTCATAGAAGGCACAAAAAAAGCAGAAATTCTTGGAAAACAAAAAGGAGAAGGATTGAAAACTAAAAACTCTGTGACAAAAAAATCTGTGACAGTCATTCAAACCTGGTGGAGATCCATGCATGAGTAAAGATCCTTTCGGAGGACTCATAACGCTGTTAGAATCCTACGAAAGACTTCTAGAAGCTACAGATCCAGTAAATCGTATCTCCAAGAGCTCCAAAAGAAAAAAAAATACCCATTACAATTCAGACGTTTCTCGAAAACCAAAAATTTATGGAACTTGAAGGAAATAATATGTTGAAGTCTCTTCGGGCTGGCCCTATCATTGATCACTCATACAGGACAATTTCTCAAGGTAATAAAGTCTTCAATTAACTGTAGAATTAACTGTAGAGATCAATGTTTTTCGTCTCCAGATGATTCAGAGTCAATAATGATTGATCAGTCTGGACGTCATTCAGAGCTGGTGGAGAGGATTATTCGCATTAAATCATCTTTGAGCGGCTAATTGATGCTGAAAAAATGGTAATTGATAGAAAAAACAGAAACTGTCATGGGATTCAGAGAGATTAGAAACGGATTCGAAGACTACAAAAATGCCATGGAGACATCAATCGTCTTCCAAACCTCGTAGAGACCAATCAAAGCACATAGACATTTGGAAAGTGAACTGAAATTTCGTTTGATGATTCAGACGTGGTGGAGCAGTGATCAATTCAATGAAAATACAGGACAAAATGCAATGATTTGTCTTCAAGGATGATTTAGGAGTGTTCAGAGGACTAGGAAGCGTCGTACAGAATGTTTGGAATTGGAGATGCGGAAATTTACCAGCGATATTCAGAGACTGCGGAGCTGTGCTCAGGCGAGTGAATTTTACATCTGCAGCTTCTTGAATACATGTAAGTGCATAAATAAATAAATATATAACAGAGAGTCAATTATGAAGCCAAAATAAGCTGAATAAAATCAGTAGCCAAATAGTAACACATGAAAAGTTGATTTTAATATATTTGCTAATGTGTATATCTCGTGAATGACTCCTCTCAAGAGAAAATGTTAAAAGACTTTTTATGTAGATAAGAAAATTACATACAAAAAATGTCTTTTGATATTTTACCCTAAATCGAATAGTTTCTGACATATTAGCAAAATACTATTTACA